AATCCAATCTCTTCTTCTCTTCTCCTTCCTCCAAGCCAAGGAGGCCGCTGCGTGAAGGTGGCAGCTGAGTTTCATCCGGCTGCCATCTGTTAGTGAAGGCACGAGGCAGAGTTGCCCGCCCCTCTCACTTTGCAGTAGTCCGGTGGGGGCGGGCACACCTAGCAGCAGAGAGCAGCCTCTCCTGCTGGCCGCCTAGTATGACTGCACTGCAGCGGGGCCTCTCCTTCCCTCCCTCCAATCTTTCTTCCCCTCTCTGGATTTCTCCTCCCCTCTTGCGTTAACACAAGTATAGCACTGTGGGTGATGCCACTGAGGTTGCCAACAAGAAGAAGAAGAAGGAAGAAGAACGAAGGAGGAGGAGAGGAGGAGGAGAAGATTGGATTTATACCCCGCCTTTCACTACCCAAAGGTGTCTCAGAGCGGCTTGCAAACTCCTTCCCCTCCCCACAACAGGCACCCTGTGAAGTGGGTGGGGCCGAGAGAGTTCTTGACAGAAACTGCTCTTTTTCAACGACAGCTCTTATCAGAACTATGGCTTGCCCAAGGCCATCCAGCCAAGTGAAAGTGGAAGAGTGAGGAATCAAACTTGGTTCTCTCAGATTAGAGTCCGCGCACTTAACCACTACACCAAACTGGCTCTCAGAGACATTTCATTGCTTATCTGCTGTTTCTTTTACGGTTCTTTTAAAGAGCTGCACTTTTTTTAAGTTTGAGAAGAAGAAGAGGAGATTGGATTTATACCCCGCCCTTCACTACCCAAAGGAGTCTCGGAGCGGCTTACAAACTCCTTTCCCTTCCCCTCCCCACAACAGATGCCCTGCGAGGTAGGTGGGGCTGAGAGAGCTCTTGACAGAAACGGCTCTTTTTCAAGAACAGCTCTTGTCAGAACTATGGCTTGCCCAAGGTCATCCAGCAGGTGCAAGTTCTCCCAGATTCTTCTCCCCGTGGATTTAACCACTACACCAAACTGGCTCTGACACTTGTTACCTTGTGTCTTGATTATCTTCAGGGCTGCGTTTTAGATTTATCATAAGCCGCCCCAAAGAGCTAACTGAGTTGACAGTTGTAGGGCAGTCAATAAATAAATCACCTGCTTCCAACGTCATTTCAAAGTTAATTTTGTTAACTTTGTTAGAATAACTAAGTTATTCTAACAAGTGTAAACGGGGAGGGGCTGTGGCTCGGGGTCAGAGCATCTGCTTGGCATGCAGAAGGTACCAGGTTCAATCTCTCCGGTATCTCCAGTTAAAAAGGACCAGGCAGTAGGTGATATGAAAGACCTCAGCCTGAGAGCTTGAGCAGCTGCCAGTCTGAGTAGACAATACTGACTTTGATGGACCAGGGATCTGATTCACTATAACGCAGTTTCATGTGGTCTTGCGTGATGGACCAAAGGTCAGATTCAGTATGCAGCCGCTTCATGTGGTCATGCGTGTTCAAGTATCGGACCAGTTGATGATTGAAGCATTTTAAAACTTTGTTCTGATAAAGTTAATGCTTCAAAAACACTTGACCGTCATTTGACAGTCCTTGACCACTGAAACAGCCAAACATAATTTGTAGCTGCAGAAAGACCTCTCGGTTTTTGAATGGTGAAGTCCTGTTAACAAACCCCTTTCAAGCTTGGAATCATTTTGAGGCATGGAAGAGGGCTGGCTACTAATGGCATCTTTGTCTTCCGTGACGCTGGCAGCCATCCTATCTTGGACTACTGAGAACCAAGAGTCACACCACCGATTGTTCTCCTGTCTCCCATAAAATTCAGAATCATCGTGTGAATATTCAAGGACTGGCGGTACCTCTGACCCATGCTCCCTCTAAGCTGTGGAGTCTTGTGAGTAAAAATTCTACTTTGTGAGCTACGGGCATTAAAGTTATGAGCGAGCAATTTGGCTCCTGCATAAATCACCTTGCTCTGGAGCCCTCCTTCCTGAGCTGAGACAAAACTGTGTGAGCCGGAGGCTAAAAAACTGTGAGCCCGCTCACACCAACTCAGCTTGGAGGGAACACTGCCTCTGACTACTGCAGGCGATTCTAAACCCTTGATTCAAAACTGCCAATTACAAAACCATGGAGAATGGCACTGCCCCCCATCCGATCCCGATGCAGCCGTGACAACCCTGCAGGGACGGGGGCATCCCTGTGCACCGACATTCCCCCAAAGCTGCGGCGATGGTCCTACTGCCCTGCCGCTGCTTTCGTCCTCCCATCTTAAGGAAGGAAAGGAAACGGGAACAAGGAGGTCCGCAGCCCAGAAAAATCTGAAAAGCTGCACAAGCCAGTGTGCCACCTTGTGCCTGGGACAAAGCCCAGAAAATTGACTGGAGGCAAACAGGGGGATTCTACTCCCAAAGCTATGCAGGTCCGGTGCTGAGCACTGCCTGGGAACGGAAATTCCCAAGCATCAGATGCCCTGGGCTCTTTGGAAAGAGATGATGGTGCTGACCTGAAGCAAAACACAACAAAAAGCATGCCGTTCCAGAGACGACGCAAGAAAAAGAGGTGGCTGGTTATTGCTCCTTCTACTCGGTTATCCCCATAAAACAGCAGCCCGCACTCCCCCCGGTCCCTAGGCCGTCGACCCCTGCCAAACACCTTGGTTTCCCCCAAAGAATGCACATGTTATCTTGCCTTTGATAACTATCCAAGGCAGAAGTCTCAAAGTCAGTGCAAGGGGAAGGGCCACCTGTTGTGACTGCAGCGTGGGAGGAAACGTCCTTGTGGAACTGGGGGGGAGGCCAAACGCTTGTGTTTTTTAAAAACAGGGCAGATAAAGGAGGCCTGGTGGAGCCAAAGCAGAATCCAAGAAAATGTCCACATGCCAGCCGGGTCGGGACCCTGATGAGCACAACGCCGGTTAGGGAGGGAGGGAGGCTGTTCGGGGAGAGCTAACTTACTGCGAGGGGTCGAGGACAGCATGTGCCCCTCATGCGCAGAGGCACAAGTGTCCTCTGGGGGATGCTGCCACAGGGGGCTGGGCCACCAGCAATGTTCCCTCTAAACTGCGGAGTCTTGTGAGCAAAAATTCTAATTCGTGAGCTACTGGCATTAAAATTGTGAGCGAATGTTTTGGCTACTGCATAAATTAGAATGCTCTGGAGCCATACTTCCTGAGCTAAGATAAAAATCTGTGAGCCGGAGGCTAAAAAACTGTGAGCTAGCTCACACTAACTCAGCTTAGAGGGAACACTGGCCACCAGGCACGATTCGGTCTGGCACATGCTTCACAGGGATCCCTAAAGGAGGGACGCGTCGACCATTTTCTCGGGGGCACCTGGGAAGCTGTGTGCACACGGCACTGCGCTATCCAGAATCAGACCACTGGTCCATCAAGACCAGGATTGTCTCCTCAGACCGGCGGCGGCTCTCCAGGGTGTCAGGCAGAGGTCCGTCACGCCACCTCCTGCCTGATCTTTTTTTTTACACGTTCACTGGAGACACCGGGGATTGAACCCGGGGCCCTTCTGCATGCCAAGCAGATGCCTCTTCCACTGAGCCGCGGCTCCTCCTGTTCCCTGTGCGTCCCCTGCTCCCTGCCTCCGGTGACCTCAGCACAGACTCAAGCCAGGGGCTGGGTGAATTCTGTCACTGTTATTTCTTCTTTTAACTATCTCTGTGTTTTATTAAGAGTAACAATCAAACAAAGCTAGGGAGCAATTTGGGGCCGTCTCTTGCTCAAGCTGAATCGTGACAAATTTTAAGAGTTTGAGAAATGTCCTTCTCTTGACAGTTCCTACCCTGCAGTGGGCAAAAGAACGAGAAGAGATTGGATTTATACCCCACCCTTCACTACCCAAAGGAGTCTCAGAGCGGCTTACAAACTCCTTTCCCTTCCCCTCCCCACAACAGACACCCTGTGAGGTAGGCGGGGCTGAGAGAGCTCTGACAGAAACGGCTCTTTTTCAAGGACAGCTCTTATCAGAACTACGGCTTGCCCAAGGTCATCCAGCCAGGTGCAAGTGGAGGAGTGGGGAATCATACCTGGTTCTCCCAGATTAGAGTCCGCGCACTTAACCACTACACCAAGGTGGTGTTGCATCATGTTTCTTTGCATGGTGCAAATTCACGGGTGGGACACACTGTTAAGGGGTGCTGTGGTGGCTCAAAGCTTGTGCTTCCAACTTATGGCGACTCTATGAATCAACGGCCTCCAAAACGTCCTGCCGTTGACAGCCTGGTTTAGGTCTTGCAAACTGGCTTCCTTCATCGAGTCAATCCATCCCTTGTTGGGTCTTCTTCTTTTCCTACGGCCTTCAGCTTTTCCTAGCGTTATTGACTTTTCCAGTGAGTCTTGCCTTCTCATGATGTGATCAAGGTACAACAGGCTCAGTTTAGTTATTTTAGCTTCTCAGGAGAATCTAGGCTTGATTTGATATAGGAGCTACCTGTTTGGTCTTTTGGGAGGTCCGTGCGATCACTGAAACTCTCCTCCAACAGCACGCTGGTAGCTTGAAAAGGCAATTAGATAAAAGGACAGGGGAAAGATCCACCAGAGGCTATTAGCCGTGATCACTGAATGGCACCTCCATGTTCAGAAGCAGTGTACCTCTGAATGCCTGTTGGAGGGGGGCGAGAACAGGGACATGCTTTGGCCTCTGTGTTTCCTGTGGACTTTTTCCTTGCTGTTATCCCTTTGCTCCTTTCAAAACACCCCAAATTCAGCTGCGTTTCCCCCCCCCTTCCTTCCTGTTTGCCGGTACTATAACACAGGGCTGAGGCCAGAGGCTTCAGTCCACAGGCTTGAGCCAAAGGCCTCTTTGCTCATCCCATCGGATGAGCCAGCTACTGAATCTCAGACGAACCCAAGGCACAGGTGATCGTTTTGTAAGTCACTTTGGGTCTTTCCAAAGAGAAAAGCGGGATATAAATATTTAAGTAAAAGAATGTTATCCCTGAAGCGACACCACTGCCCTCTACTGACAGCTGAGCCTTCCTGCAAGTACAGCTAAAACCAACGGGGGTCACTTAAGCTTTCACTCAGACTTTGTTCATTCACTCACCCTGTTACTGTTGCGACGGCAGGGGGGGAGGTGTTATTTTTCAGTTCTCGCACGTTCACCACCTGGGGGACATTCTTCAAGGTAGACTCCGTTAAGGAAGCGCTCACAGCTTTTAAGAGAAATAAACAGGAGGGTGCATTAATTCTTTTGGTGATGGCCCACTTCCCACGGTGCGCACAAGTCATCCAAACAAGCTCAGATTTACCACGCATTAAGGAACAGGACACGTCTATGGCCTGGCCCTCTTGGAAGTGGTCCACCTGCAAGAGGCCTGTGCCACCGCTCAGTGGCGCCCCCAGAAGAGTGATTTACCACATCGCAGTGGGAGAGCACTAACTGTATGCAGAAGGCCTGAGGTTCAATTCCCGGCATCTTCAGTCAAAAGTATCATAGGGAAGCAGTAACTAGGAAAGACCCAGGGCTATTTTTGGGCAGGAACGCACAGGAACGGAGTTCCGGCTGGCTCCTGAGTTGGCCACGCCCAGCAGGAACTCATTAGCATAACAGGCCACACCTAACAGCAGAAACTCATTGGGATTGGCTACATTAGGGGTGTGTGGCCTAACATGCAAAGGAGTTCCTGCTACAAAAAAAGCCCTGGGTTTGGACAACAAACAAGGTAAACAGAATAAGAAGCAAAAGGTGGGTGTGGCTGGATGACCACACTTCTGGTAACATGGGGGTGTGTGGCCTAATATGCCAATGAGCTGTGCCGTCAGGGGTGTGGCCTAATATGCTAATGAGTTTCTGCTGTTGGGTGTGGCCTATTATGCTAATGAGTTCCTGCTGGGCTTTTTCTACAAAAAATGCCCTGGAAAGACCCTTTGCTGCCTGAGACTCGGGTGCGCTGCTGCCGGTCAGAGCAGAGAAAACTAAGTTCAACAAAACCAATGATCTGACTTGATATAAGCCAAGTTCATATTGACTGCAGGTCACATGATCGAATGTTCCTCCATTTGGGGGGGGAAAGAGAATCCTAGCTCACAGAAAACTTGCATATGAGGAAGAAGAGCGCTAGCCTGCTCCCTGACAGACTAGCATTCTACAGGCAGGGGTTTTTTGCTCCTAGGAAAAAACGTTCCACCAATTCCATACAATACTTTGAATGGCACAGCCTCTACTGCACTCCTTACCTCAGTGAGAACTATGTGTGGCCAGGCACCTTTAGAAGAAAATGGAGAAAAGGGCCGTCCCACTGGAGAGTTAAGGCTTCTAAGTCTACTGAACACTGCAGCCTCAGACACCTGGTTGTTTATCCCTCAGGAGCTGCCTCCCCAAACCATCCAAAGCCTGTTTCCCCCTGGGCTCTAACACTTACCACCGCCAGTCTTCTCCCTCCCCTTCCCTTGCTGAGAAATGCTCAGCTGATCTGCACTCAAGCAATATCCAACATCTGTACTCTTAGAAGCAAGGAACACTTTCCCTATGAGGAAAGGTTAAAGCGCTTAGGGCTCTTTAGCTTGGAGAGACAACGACTGAGGGGTGACATGATCGAGGTTTATAAGATTATGCATGGGAAAGAGCAGGTAGAGAAAGAGGTACTTTTCTCCCTTTCTCACAATACAAGACCTCGTGGGCACTCCATGAAATTGCTGAGCGGTCGGGTTAGAACGGATAAAAGGAAGTACTTCTACACCCAAAGAGTGATTAACACTTGGAATTCACTGCCACAGGAAGTGGCGGCGGCTACAAGCATGGACGGCTTCAAAAGGGAATTAGATAAGCATATGGAGGAGAGGTCCATCAGTGGCTATTAGCCACAAGGTATAGATAGGGACTCTGGGGCAAGTGATGCTCTGTCTCCTTGGTGCCTGGGGGGGGGTCAACAGTGGGAGGGCTTCTAATGTCCTGGCCCCACTGGTGGACCTCCTGATGGCACCTGGGATGTCTGGCCTTTGGCCTGATCCAACATTGGCATCTCTTATGTTCTTATGTTAAAGTTTCCCCCCCTTAAATAAATAAGGAAGCCAGCGTGACAAAGTGTCAGGCTTGGACCATGGAGATCCATTTTCCTATCTCCGCTAAGCTGTGAAACTCACTGCATGAGTTTGGGCTGGTTACTATCGCTCAGTCTAATCTGCAGAGGTGGCTGTTCCATGGATAAAATGTGTTCTTGCATGTGTGTGTTTGTGTGTGTGAATTTCTGAAATCTCTCAATTTCTCAGAGAATGGGCTATGTAAGAAAGAAACATTTAGGAAGTGTTCGTGTTTATTCTACAACCAGACTCCAGTGTTTTTCAAGGTTCTGTTCAACCACAGTTCCGCAGGGCCACGAAAACTGAGCTCTTTTGCCAGGCTTTTAGGTAGGAGCCGTGTTACCATTTAGGCCCGGTGCCAATCTATCTCCAGCCTGAGCCCGTTGACAATGGATGGACCGATAAATGCACTTTATTGTGATGATACCGCCATTGTTTTTTCCACTGTTTTTAATAACTGGTGTATTTTATATTAATATTTGTATTGTTGTTGACCTATTGGTTCTTCCGTAAACCGCCCTGAGCCTGCCTTGGTGGGGTAAAAATCAAATCAATCAATAAAGAACCACAGCCTGGTGGTTCCAACAGGCAAACCACAGTGCAGAGCTGTCTGTTGACTGCTGCATTCCACCTGTGCGGCACTCCCGCTTCCGATGGGGCAGGGGCCTCTGGGGCCACAGCGATGGTCACAGCCAACAGTTTGTCAATTCAAACTTCAAGACAAACCACAGCTAGTGCAACCATTGGTTTTCAAATCCATTTGAAACTATACTTTAAATCATGGTTTAAGGGAGGGGCTGTGGCTCAGTGGAAGAGCCTCTTGCTTTGCATGCAGAAGGTCCCAGAAGGTCCTTGGCACCTTCGGTTAAAAGGACCAGGCAGTAGGTGATGCAAAAGACCTCTGCCTGAGACCCTGGACAGCTGCTGCCAGTCTGCGTAGATAAATACTGATCTTGATGGATGGGTGTTCTGATGGAGTATGAGGCAGCTTTGTGTGTCCATGCATTGCTGTTTCACCAATGAACGACAGATCAGACACAATATCAAGACGCAGTTAAATTTCCTTTACTAATGTTTGGTGGAATATCCACAGAATTTTGCTTGGAGGGGGGGAGGAGGATTTTAGGGTCGAGTGTACGAAGGCTGAGAAACTCGGATAGGCAAAGTGATCTTACGGCTGCAGTGAGGCATAAGAAGCAAAAATATAAATGGCAGCAACAGCATCGATCTGCCTCTGGCCCTCGTCAGGCTACCGGCTTCTAGAGGACGATTCAAAGAGCTAAGCAACGGGCTGCAGATCCCATTAGGCAAGAGGCGATTGCACACATACGGGTCCGGCTCAGCGGCAGCCGCAATGTTCCCTCTAAGCTGTGGAGTCTTGTGAGCAAAAATTCTACTTTGTGAGTAATTGGCATTAAAGTTGTGAGTGAGTGATTTGGCCACTGCATGAATTAGTTTGCTCTGGAGCCCCATCCTTCCTGAGCTAGGACAAAAATCTGTGAGCTGGAGGCTAAAAAACTGTGAGCCAGCTCACACTAACTCAGCTTAGGGGGAACACTGGCGGCAGGCCAAGGGCCCCGGATCAGACAGTCAAAACACAACTTTACCTGGATTCTGGTTCGCCATCTGTCTCCGCATAGCCGCTTCTGCCGCTGCCTGAGGGGCAGGGATGGTGGCGGAGGGAGCGGGGGCGCCGTGCTTCACAGTCTTCGTGGCCAGCATGGTGCTGTCTGCCCCTTGGGGTGCGATTTTGGGGGTGGATGCTACAAAGGAAATGAGACGCCACATTCAGTTTGCTGCGAATGATGGAAGCCTGAAGTCGCTGTTGAAAGCTCCTGTCGACATGGATAAAGGTGGTGCTGGAGTTGCCCCATTGTTGTGCAGGTGAGGATCATTGCCTCAAAGAAGGCCTCCTCCTAGACTGGCCCAGCACACCTGTTAGGAGCCTCCTCCCAAGTCCTATTTTCTCCCACACGGGAGAAGCAGGTGATAATTGGAGAAAGGGCCTTCTTAGTGGTGGTGTCTCGCCTTTGGAATGCCCTCCCTCTTGAGGCTCACTTGGTGCCTATACTGCTGTCATTTAGGTGCCAAGTTAAAAAAATTCTTTTTTCTTTACCTAGGCTCTTAATTGACGTTTTACTGCACTTTTTTGTTTGTTTGTTTCCTGGCCTTGATCATGCCCAAGTGCTTTTTAATTACTTGTACATCTTTTACCCTATTTCTTTTCCATTTTGCAATTATTCTGCCACTGGCTCTCTTGCTGATCGGGCTGTTGTTTTTGTATTGTTTTATTTTCATGCCAAACTTTTTTTCTTGGCCTCCTCAAGCAGGTCCCTAGAGAGGCAGCATCTACATTTTCTAAATACAATGAAAAATATTTGGGTCACGGATGCCTGGTACTAGATTCTTAGTTTTCTATTGCTGCAAGAATGTTAGTTGCAGAGACTTAGGTAAAGGTTTCCCTTGTTTGAAAGCCAGTCAAATCTGACTCTAGGGGGTGGTGCTCATCTCCGTTTCCTAGCCAAAGAGCCAGCGCTGTCCGAAGACTTCTCCGTGGTCATGTGGCCGGCATGACTAAATGCAGAGGCACACAGAATGCTGTTATCTTCCCACTGAAGCAGTACCTATTTATCTACTTGCAATTTCTTGCTTTCTTTTTAAAAAATTTTTTATTTATTAGATACAATACATGCAAATCCACATTTCAAATACAGTTCGAGTCTATTAATAGATGCAATTTCTTGCTTTCGAACTGCTAGGTTGGCAGGAGCTGGGGCCAGAGACAGGAGCTCACTCCGTTACGCGGCACTCGGGTCTCGAACTACAGAGAGTTAGGAGACTGCAAAACATTTGACTAAGATCTTGGCTAAATGGGAGATAGCAAGATTATAAAAACTGACTTGAATTAGATAGGATAAGGACGGACAAACTAGTCTGGTGTATTTTTCCAAATGCTGGAAATTTTTTAATGATTTCTGGAGGGAAAAGTCGTATCTGTCTATTGATCTATATCCCTGTGTCACATTTTTAGTTTATAATCATAAAGGTATTTGGAACATGATATAGCTGAGGACCTTGTAGGAACTCAGTAAGCACTTTTTACTATTAGGTGATCTCTCTCTCTCTCTAAATAAAAACATAAAAATATATTATTTGGGTGTAACTGGATTCACAGCACAGAAGCTTGACTGAACAAGAAACTGATTAATCAAATCTAATACTGACATGTTCTCCAATAAACTATAACAACCAATGCATACGCCACAACAATCCACAATAATTCAATCTGTACCCACCCCACCCTACGTATGAAGACAAACTACAAAAGGTTAACTCCTTAAATCATATACAGGCTGGCATCCAGAGAGCCACTTGAGATGCTCTCAAGGTCCTGTACATACCTAGCTGAGTCTTTGACTGCCCCCACCATTTAATCTTTCAGCCCCCTCCAGGGTATACTACAACTTGCCCTTGATATTCTCTGCGGCAGTGTTCCCTCTAAGCTGAGTTAGTGTGAGCTAGCTCACAGTTTTTTAGCCTCCAGCTCACCCATTTCTGTCTCAGCTCAGGAGGGAGGGATCCAGAGCAGACTAATTGATGCAGTAGCCAAATCCCCCACTCACCCCTTTAATGCCAGTAGCTCAAAAAGTAGAAGTTTTGCTCACAAGACTCCACAGCTTAGAGGGAACATTGCTCTGCGGTATCAAAAATACTGCTGTTGTTTGAGACCCCCAAGCCCAAACCACCCCCACTGTACAGTTCTCCATATCCCAGCTTAATCCTCGGGGCCTTGTGTACTTCCCTGTTATTAAAATCACACACTACCAGACAGAAAATTCGGTCCCCGGAGAACACTTACAGCGATGACTCAAATATACAACAAAAGGGACCCAGCGCCGCAACACATCATTACGATTCCCATTTCCAAAATTGCATTCATCCTGTTTGTTTATCTGTTTCAGCAACGGAAAATGCTTTCCCTCAACCATTTCGCAGCGTGAAATGATCCGTTCGATTGCCACTGCTTTGCGGCAACGGCCAATAACAGATTTCCAATAAAGGCCTGATGGCTATAGACATCAGCGTTCCTTACGAAACTCAACAATATTACTAAAAGCAGCCTGCCTGAATACCATCCTAGGCACCACCAAGCTAACATTTGAATTTCCCCCCCCTCAACATCTTCATTCAAAGGACACTCCCACCATGTATGCATGGAAAAATAGCATAATTTGCACCCAACAGTTAAGAAACCTGTAGATTCTATGCTGTGTATTGCTTCCACTTATAAGGGTTGTTATTTGTTCTCCACCCCACTTATCTTCATGGCTATATGTCACCACTTGCTATCAAGAGACACACGCTCCCCAGCTCCATAACCAATGCTCCCTTTAAGCTGTGGAATCTTGTGAGCAAAAATCCTACTTTGTGAGCTACTGGCATTAAAGTTGTGAGCGAGCGATTTGGCCGCTGCATTAAATTTGTCTGCTCTGGAGCCATCCTTCCTGAGCTAAGACAAAAATCTGTGAGCTGGAGGCTAAAAAACTGTGAGCCAGCTCACACTAACTCATCTTAGAGGGAACACTGTCCATAACTCAGAAATGCAAACTCAACAGCCGATCAAATAACAAGATTCAGAGGCAAGCGGCCTGAGCGTGTTACGCAAAAATGGGCCAGGCACTTGAGTGTCACATGGCTTCTCTTTTTGGATTTTGCTTTGGATCGACATGACTACCCGCCAGTGTTCCCTCTAAGCTTAGTGTGAGCTGGCTCACAGTTTTTTAGCCTCCAGCTCACACATTTTTGTCTTAGCTCAGGAAGGAGGGATCCAGAGCAGACTAATTTATGCAGTAGCTGAATCACTCGCTCACAACTTTAATGCCAGTAGCTCACAGAGTAGAGTTTTTGCTCACAAGACTCCACAGCTTAGAGGGAACATTGCTACCCGCACAACTGCTGCACAGCTGAAAATACGATGGTCAGCGACCATTCTTCAAGGAAAGGGAGATATCTGGGAAGTGATGCAATTGGCTTTACCTAGTGCATAATCTGAAATTAATCTCCAGTTTTGTTAATAACCATCCCTATCATCTTTCTGTTCTGGGCTTTTTAAGGGACCTTTGTGTTCCATTTTGTGCTTAGAACAACACAAGGGGGCGGGACCCGCAATACTCGCGGGGGGGAGGGACCTCCACACAGGAGGCAGAGGAGGAAGCAGGAGGAGGAGGTAAGTTCCCCCCCATCCCGCCGGTTCTTCCCCCGTCGCCTC